TTTCCTTTCTTTTTTTTTTTTTTTATTTTTAGTCTGCTGCAAGGATCACCATCATCATTTAATTCCAGAAAGTCATCTATCTGTCTGTCTTTCTTTCTTTCTTTCTTTCTTTCTTTCTTTCTTTCTTTCTTTCTTTTTCATAGAGAAGGTCCCACTGTGTAGCTTAGCCAAGTCATATACTCACTGCTAGCCCAGGCTTGCTTCAAAATCACATTGATCCTCTTGCCTCTGCTTCCTGTGGGTTGGGATGGCAGGCGTGCATTTCTACATCCAGGCTTCTGGCCCCGCTCCTTTCCACTCCCTCTGAAGTCTGAGGACTAACTCCAAGTCCTAATATATGGTAAACTACTAATCCATTACAAGTGTACATCCCCAGTCATTATTATTTTATCATTTTTGGGGGGGATGGGGGTTCTGGGGACTAACCTCATGACATCTTTACCATTCAGTTATAGGTCCATTTCTTCTCACAGTTTATAATGTGACCTTGTCTTGCTAAGTTTCCTAAGCTGGCCTGGAACTTGCCATCTCTTGTCTTACCTTCACAACTAAGTGGGAGTACAGGCCTATACCAAGCTACTTGGCTGCCTATACTGATGTCTAAAGCACCTCTCAGGCTTGAGGCCACAGGCTGGAAGGAATCCTTGACTTAAATCTTGAAGGAAGGGGCTTGGGGTGTGCTTTCCAGCTGTGACCCTTCCTGTATCCTCTGCCTTTCTCTGGAAACTGGTCCTGTTCTAAGCCACACAGCACAGAGGAGTCTGGGCACTGAAGACAGGAAAGAAGGCTCAAGGAGGAGTGGAACAATGACTGGATTGGTACATCCAGCCCCTCAGAAGGACTGGGATGGTTCCCCTGGTCTCCCTGCTTTTGACCAGGCACAACCTCTCCCTAGAATATGTTGTCCCCTGCAGCTAAGAAAGCAAACTTTCTGTAAAGCACAGTTCTCCACAGGCTGTGCCCTTTGCCCCACTGCTGCCTGTTTCACAGGGCCACCTGCAGCCTGTCCTTGCCCTTGCTCTAGCAGCGCCTTACCTGGGACATACACTCCCTCCCTGAAGTGGTAAACAAGGAAGCTGGTAAGCCTGAAAAGTCCTTACTTTGAAGCTGCTGCCCATTTGCACAATGGCATTTGGCCTGTTCAAGCTATTGACATGATGCCACTGCACCCAGCACCTGGAAGAGATGTGCACAGCCAGCAAGGGCTGCGGATCCCATGCCCAGGGCTTGCTAACCTCCTGCCATACTCGCAGGTTCTCAGCTGTGACAGCATAAGTAGCCAGGGTTAGAGTTTCCCACTTTATAGCCTGAAAGCAGGAGAAGGCCAGGGGACAGCCCACGCTCAGGACTCTACCTTGCCTTGCTCCTCCCTCCTACTTCCCTTTTGGTGTCTTTCTCAGGGCTCTGGCTGAGTAAGCCATGTGCAGATAGATCCTGTGTGCAGGCTCAGTTTCTAAGAGAGCTGAACAAAAGAGGATTCTCCACCAATTGGTGGCTCCAGCTTTCCCTGTCCGGAAGTCTCCCATACACAGCTTGAGAGTTTCTTGTGAAATTGAGATAAGGGGGTCACTATGAATTTGAGGTCAACCTGGGCTACTTAGCCCAAGGCCAGCCTAAATTAGGAAAGAAGAAACTGCCACAAAGACAAGCATCCAAATAAATGAACAGGGACATTGCAGTGACAGGAATGAATGAATGACGGTTAGGGCTGTGGGAGCCAGAGGGTGTCATGAAGCCCAGACAGCTATCTGACCAGGACTGAATGCACACATGCGACCTGGGCTGGAAACTGGGTCAAAGATGGCCAAGAACAAGGAATGAACTCATACTCAGCGGCTGGCCCACTGAGTTCTCACTATAGTGAAAAGTTGGGCATCTATCTGTCTATCAGTCAATAAACACATCATTTCCTCTTTTTCTGAAACTGGTGATTAACACAGGCCCTTGGCTCTGCGACAAATTTCCACTGCTTTTTGTGGTTTTTACTCTGCGATCTGGTCTCCATAGCTTGCTATAGCAGGGGATGAAGGTCAGCTACACAGTACTGGCCTGGAAACAACAAGGTCCTAAACTCAATTC